TATTACTAATTTTCTTTTCCAATTTAAATATTTACCTTTATGTAAAATTGCAAGAAATTCTTTACAATTTTCTTAAATACAAGATAAAAGAATCAGAAACCTATTTGTATTTCCCTAATAATATATTAATTTTTCAAAATTTTGCAAAATTTAAAATTCTAAAGAGAAAATTAATTCTTTTAATTAATTCTTTTATGAAAAGAATATAAACTATAAAATGTATGAAGAAATATACAATCTAATAATTAATATATCTTGGGAAAAATAAACATAAACGGAATTAATTTATTAATTTTTAATACGATCCTAAAGAGAATCCACAAAAGATCCTTTCTCGCTCCTTATCGATATGATATCGGATGACGCGGCCCGATCGGGAGGATCATAACGAGCGGACTCGCGAGAAGAGAAGATCGCACGCTCGTTCCCGAGGAGGCCTGCCGATGATTTGTTTACTCCTCGGATCGCTCTCGATGCGAACCCGCCCATGCGATGCGGCAACGAAGAACCCGGGTCAGCAACGAACCCTGACCCTCGGCTAATTATTGTTGGCTCTAGATCGTCGATAGGCGCGCGAGAGATTCTCTCTTTCTCTCGCGGCTATCGACAGGACAGGATCATCATTGCCTCCCAGGAATTTAACGTGAAATTTCAATTACGTCATAGAGCGACGCGACGTATCGCAAATCTTTGCCGATCCTTCCGTCTGGCTATTCGTCTTCCTTACATTTCCTATCCTCCTTTTATAAATCTAATAATAGTTATTATTATATATTGTTATATTTATCCTACATATTAAAAATAATTTAATAATGAGAATAACCATAAAATAATTGATTACATTGAAAATTATTTGTGGATTGCAAAGTCGCAAAATCTTTTCGACATCTTCAGAAACTCACCCTTTTAATTGACTTTCCACTTTTCAATCTCTCGTGACGGAAAATCTCTGATATCTAAAGTAACCATTTCTCTTTAGTCTTTTATAATTTCATTCTTTTAATTGACAGATTTCAACTTTTTGTAAGAATCCGAGTTTGACAATTTTTCTCCTTTAATTATTGAATTAAATTTACTAATATTAATTAAATAAAAATTTTAATTGTCTCATAGAATAATAATAAACGTCATACTTGGAATAGAATCTTTAATATCGATATTCAGTTATGAAAAAAGTCCTGATTATTATTTATAAATTAATTTTTTATTTGTCATTTTTCATAAGAAAAAAAATTATAAATCCAACAAGAGTTTTCTCAATTTTATTTCGTTTTATAACCAATTTATAAATAAAGAATTCGAATGTATTCGGTCAATAATTACATTAATCATTAAACTAATTATTCAATATTAAATTCAATTAAAATATATAAACATTTAAGCATTTATTACTATTTTGTCTGAAAAAACTTGGCTCTGAAAATTTCTTTCGATATTCAAAAATATAATTTTATTGGATCGAGTAAAATATATTAATCTTTCGTTCTCGAGATTCCTTTCTCCTTCCTTTCGCTTCCTCGACTCATTCGCAATTATTCGATTCCTCGATCTTTCTCGTCACCAACGGTGAAACGTACCCCGCGCGATCCATGAACCGCGAATAGATCACGATCGCGCTATCCAACAGAGGGTCCCGCGAAAGGGGACATAACGCGAGAGGGAGGGGGACGAGAACGTGCAGGTGGATAAAAATGGATGGAAAGGAGATAGACGGACAGCCATGGCGGCAGCCATGGATCCGCCGGAGTATCTCGCGACTAGAGAGGGACTTATCTGCCGGGCCCCCGTCGGACCCCCTCGAGTCCGCGGTCGTTCCCGATATTAAAAATACACCGCCGGTAGATAGTCGCGCTCTCGGCTATCGGATAGCTGCGCGCATAAGCTCTCGAAGGAACACTCATTAAAAATAGCTATCTCTATCTGCGAGGTGGGGAGAGAGAAAGAGAGAGAGAGAGAGAGAGAGAGGAAGAGGGAGAGGGAGGAAGGGGGCAGCCGGGGCTTACAACGGGCGGTACGGAACCCGCTCCGTTCTCGGATCTGCGCGAATAGAACATAAGTCCGTCTCACTCGACGAGGAGAGAGAGAACGGAGAGAAAGAGAGAGAGAGAGAGCGAGTCGGTCGAGAGCATAAAAAGCATGGTTTCTCAGGCAGATACGGGATCTTATCGGCGGGGCCTTACGCGGCGAAGAATGTTTGGCCCCGTTCGTTCTATCGGCCGGCCTTATCGGTCTCCCGTCGTTTTTATTTCCGCTCTTTTTACCCCGACCTGCTTTTTTCCTCGTCTTGTCCCCCGCCGTCCCCTCCCCCATCTCTCCTTTCCTTCTCTCGATCTCTTGGGTGTCTGGCGAGGAGAGAACACCCGAGTCACTTCTCGCCGAATCAACGTGCGTATGGAATATGCCATTCTTTTATCTAGAGTGCAAAGGGTAATTTATAGCGATCGCCGATTCCGCACGTCGATCGACGATCCTGGTCGAATTCATTTTGGAGCGATCGGCGATGCGATTGGAAGGAAGGAGAGCAAAGCTTTGGAAAAAAGGAGGAAGCGCACGGGGGTTCCACGAAAGTCGAGAGAACGAAATAAACGATAAGGTAAGGAGGAACGGCGGGTTAACCAACAAGCAAATTAACACGTGGGAGGGTCCGATCGGCAAATGAGATAATTGTGCAACGAGGGGCCCTCGGGGTCTCTCTCTCTCTCTCTCTCTCTCTCTCTCCCTTCTTTTCGTCCTTCGAACCCTTACGAGACTCACGAGCTACGAGGCGGGATCGGCAGAGGCGTGTTACCGATGGACGTATGTAACCATCGATGGATCGATCGGACAATCTCCATCGTGCGTTACATGTGTGTTGCTTGTATCACGTATACACACGATCGTTTCTTCCCCGTCTTTCGTACCTCTCGTTGCCATCGAGATTACACGGGGGCGGAAAGGGGCACCGAGAAACCGCCACGGGCTCCCTCACTACTCGCCGTGGGTTTATATTCGCGTAATCCCGTTTGTATCTTTATTTATGAAATCGTGGAGCGAGCGGAAGGAGAAGAGATCGGGATGGACGGATTGAGAGTCGTCGCGATTCTGTCGGGCCGAAGAATTAATTAAGATATCTGGGATCATGCGAGTAAATTCCTCGCGGGCAAACAAGAGTCTCGATACCCGTTTCTCGATAATTGAAGAATTATCGAGTAGCAACAATGGAAAAAAAATAGCTCCTGACGGACAAAAATTTGCAATTTTTTCAATTATTTAAAATTCTTTTTAAATGATTTAATATTCTTAGGACGTTGCAATCTAGATAATTTTCAACTATTTCATCAATCTTTTTCTTTCGAGATTAAATAGTTTTCAAAAATACTTCCAAATTAAAGTACAATTTCTATAAAATTTGAGTAGCGTTTTTATTTTACCAAATGCCACCTTTTTTTAGCCATAGAAAATTGATTCGCGAAAACAATTCACATTCATATTCCATTTCTTCTGAATTCTCGAAAAATATTTTAAAAGATTGAGAGAAATACAAGTATTGCAGAGATGTCAATGTCATCAAGAAGATCTTTATTATTGTTAGAGATTCTAGACATCTTTGTTTGCATCAAATTGGCTTTGCAGGCGATCGATAATCACGAGCGAGTGAGAAGCAAGTTCATCCGAGGAGAAAGAGAGAAAAAGATGGAGAATGATGACTCCGAAGATCTCGATCATCACGATCTATCAATCGATTTGATGATCGATCAATGATCACGCGATATGATCTACGATTATCTTACCCTTCTCGCTAATCATCGTCTGGTTGATTATCACGCTCTATCACGCGATTTTATCGATAACGGAAATGTCCTCGAGATGCTATCACGATGCCAATAAAATTGTTAGTCACATCACTCTCTCGATCATTAGGAGTTCATCGAGATCTATATATAACTTTTTAGATATAAATCTATGTATATTTTAAGTCATTCGCCGAAATATTTTCCGGAATGATATTTTTCGAGAACGACATGTGTTTGTTTTTCATACGTGGCTTTTTAATCGATTAGACGAAAATGATTTAAAACTTTAATTTTTAATTCAACATATATAATAATATTTTATTCAAGAATTTTCCACAGCTTTCATGGGATTTTCACTGAAGAAAAATCGACCGTCAAAGAATCATTCATTCAAATTTCACGCATAGATCATGAAACACTCTATACAAGAGATATCCCATATCTCTAAAAATTCCTCCTAATATATTCTGTCACATGAGAATTCTTTCGTCGCGACCGACTCATCGGAAAAGAATGAAATCCACAGCACGGAAATTTGAAGAACAAAGCACGCGCCTGGCAAAAAATCCAAAAGAACGATCCGGAGGAATGAAAGGGTGAGGGAAAGAGGGGGAGAGGAAGTGACGTCACGCAAAAGTAACGAGTCTCGGTTAGCCGCGATAAGGCGCTTTAATCGTGCGATCTTAATGAACTCCTCCCATTAGCGCTCTAGCGAGGCCGCGACTCGCGTTCATCGAAACCCTTTCTTTCTTGCTTCTCTCCTGAAGAGAGAGAAAGAGAGAAGGAGGGACAGAAAGAGACAAATTTTCGATCCCCGTAGAAAAAATCGCGAGAAAAAAATTATCTCTATATAAAAATATTAAAAATGTTATAAAATTTATTTCGATGAGCAGTGTTTTTTTTTCTTTACGTGGCACATCTTCTATTTATATAATGGAATCGAAACTGATATTTCGGAATCAAAATACTCCGGATTTGTGTTTAATATGTGACATTAATATAATTAATCTCTGTGGTTACAATATTATTATTAATATTATAATTAATAATTATATAATAATTATTCAACTTCCTATTAAAACTCCAAAGATAATAAAATTCTTATCCAGAAATTAAATAATTAAAATACGCTAAAGATAAAATTATATAATAATTCTCTGTGGAAGTTTAATTATATCAATATAATTTGATTTAGAATAGTGGGATTTAGGAAGCTGATCTACTTACTCGACAAAGAAATAGCAGCAGCTCGCACCTGAATCGCCCTGCGTTGACGCCACAAAAGTATGCTCATGTTGCGTTAAGGAAATAAATCCTCAAAGTAAAAAGGCATCCGACATCTCCGCATTTTCCGACATGGTTCGCATATTATTTCCAAACACACAACGGTGAATCTTGTCAAATTTAGTCACAATGAAATCAAATGCACGCAAATTGAAACGTATGAGACAGTTTTGGTCAATCAAATGTAATTTTACACTTATACACTGTATCTTGAATTGTTTTCCTTCATTTTCTTTTTTTTTTAAATATTATAAGTTGTTTTATTCTCTCTCCCTCTCTCTGAATTTTTACAATCTTACGACATTATATAAAAATATGAATTTAAAATGCATAAATTCAATTATGCAGCAAAGATCGAGCGAGCTAAAAGAATCCCCCATCGAAATTTAATCTTATACTTTCAAATAATTTTACCACGAAAAATCTAGCAAGCTTCCTCTTTTCAATCCTTCTTAATTCAAAGAGAGAAAGATCGATTGCTCACAATCTACAAATGTGTGCACTGCGCTGTTCGCAAGTCGAAAAAAATTGCAAATTGAATCGACAATATCGAATACGTGCGAGCTACTAAATCGTCGACTTGCCGCAAACAGCTGGGCCGATAGTCGCGTTCGTCGGGGACACGCTCGTCACGATTCTCCGCGGATTCCGATATATCGTTAACGCGCTGACACGTTGGTATCGCGACGTGAACAATCAGCCCGAAAAAGAAATGCTCGGCGATCGGAACCGCTCGATCGGTTTGATTAAAATATATTCCCCTGTATCGCCGAATCGCGCGAGTGGAATTGAAGGCGAGGACTCGAGGCGAATTATCTGCTCTATCTATCCATCTATTTATCGATCTCTTTCTCTATCTCACTTTGTACACAAGAGAGCCGAGATCTTATCACGCACGTTGCCCGATAAGCCGCGCCGGTACAACCTTATCAATCATCATCTTATCGATTGAATTCACGCGCATCTACAAGGCCTGGAAATGCATCGATTCTACGCGACATAAATATAAAATTTATCCCGAGGAAAATTGGATAATACAAGTATTTTCATAAGATCGAATCTCGAATTCCAAAATTGTTCAATTAAGAATTCTTCTGAAAAGGTAAATGTGTTTCGAAAAATTATATAAAAATTACATAAAAATTATAGAAAAAATTATACAAAAGAGAAAATATGAAAAAATGAGATTGAAAATTTTCCAATTGAAGAGTGTAATTAATGTTTTTCACGGCGGTAAACGCGCTATAGTTTTACCTTCGCTTTTCCGTGCGTGCGTTTTTGATGGGAGCGTCCTGGATTAATTATAACTTGCTTCGCCGCAAGTGCTAGAGGACCTCCACGTGCAAGTTTTAATTGACGCGTGCAGAGCTCGAGCGGTTTTGCCGCTCTTAATTATGCGATTTTACGTACACGCGCGCGCGAGTTGTTAATACTTTATCTCGTTTCGAAATTCCCTACTCCATCTCACAAGCCTCTCGTTCCGCGACACACTTTGGTCGCATTCTTCACAAGTCAAATTATAATATCTTTTATGCATTACATATAATTTATGAAATATTTTGTTAATACTAACTTTTAATAATAATTATATTTAATAATTGATCATTAATTAATTAATAATTAATGATCAATAATTATATTTAATAATTAAATATATAATTAGAATTTAATTTTAATAATAATTATTTATTATTATATCAATTGAAATAAAATTTCAACATAATTTAATACAAACAATTATTGATAATATTATAAAATTGAATTACAGGTCAGTCATGATTGTAATCAAGCTTGATTTTGTTTAACACAGAATATAGAAAATATTATGTTGTGGTATCACAAATTATCAAAATTGAAAAAATATCAAAAATCATGAAAAATTTTAATCGTAATTTGTATCGAACTTTATAATATTATTGTTGGAGTTTAAAAATTTACACGCACTTTACACGTAATTTCTCCGACTTTTATCTTATAGTTTCCCAATTTTGTCGCACTTCCTGTGGTGTTGATTTTTCTACCTTTTCACACTACTAATTCTTCTAGGCTTTTTCCGACTTTTCGAAATGTTTAAGAGACCGCGACGAGATGCTCGCTCTTGTGATGCAAGCACTATCACTGGTTTTCCAACGGCCCAGGAACCCACGGCTACCTGTTATCACTTTCCTTCTCTCTCTCTCTCTTTCCCTCTCTCTTTCTCTCTTTTATACACACACACACACACTCTATTTCTTTTCACCTTTCCCTCTGCCCTCTCTCCGTCGATTTTCTCACTTCATGTCACTGCCGATCCCTCTTTCTGTCCTTGGATTCTGTTGCCACACGATAAGTACTGAGTAAATATTCGACAGTCGTTCCTGTCTCTCTCTTTCCACTACTCTTTCGCTCTTTTCTTTTTCTTGTCGCTTCACCTCGCCTTCTTCATTGTTGACCTACTGGGTAGACACACCGGAAGATGGCAATTCTGAAATCCGTCATGCTCTTTCGAGAGAGACTCGGTGAATCATCAATTATTCCCAGGAACAATCGCTGACATCAGTTTAGTCAGATATTTTTTATTCGATCATTTTAATCAGGATATATAAAAAGAGTAAGATTCGCGAAAAAACCTCGCCTCCTTTGCGATACTATTAATCAAATTTGACGATACCATACCATTGTGTATAATAATAAATAATAATAAATAATAAAATAATTACAATATTTTTAATTTAATGTCGCTTTGATTAAAGTGTAGCCATAATTTTTGTTCTCGTCAGATGTTGGGAAAAATTCCTCGGATCGCACGGTTGAATTCAACTGCACCGCGGACCTTGGCAAGACCAGCCGGCGATATAGCGCTAGTTTTCCGGCGATGGAAGCGGCACCCCCGTCGCACACCCCGGTGCCAAGCTCCAACTTTGCTGATAACGCGTGGCGATAACGGATAACGATAACCGCTGCGCCGCTCGCGAGATACTCCCGCGGCGGCAACGCGCGCTTCGTGAGTAACGGAGCGATAACGATAAGGCCGGGGCGTAAGACACGTAGAGAACCATTTATATCTAATAAGCGTGCTCTTTGTCTCCGACACGTCGATGCGGTATCGCGACCGCCGCGCTTTTCTACATTTTTTTTTTTCCTGTTCCTGACTAAGAGTTTCTGATATTAACTCAGGTATTTCTAAAAAATTTTTTTTAATTTTTAAATGTTATATTATATTATATATTAAAAACCCGAACATGTATTCAAGATGTAAAAAGCACATTTAAATATAACATCAAGACGTTAATTATGTAATATAATATTAGATAGTTTCATCAATTTTTTTTATTATATAATAATATTATTAGAGCTCATATTATAATTAATTTCTGATAATATTATATTTCAAATGTGATATCAAGACGTTAATTATGTAATATAATATTAGATAGTTTCATCAATTTTTTTATTATATAATAATATATAATAATATTATTAGAGCTTGCCGATATTATAATTAATGTCTGATAAAGTATGTTATAATTTAAAATAAAAATCATTAATCATTTTATAATATAATAATATTTACTTTATCTCTGAATTTTTACTTTTATTCTATTTTAATCACAATCATTCCGTACAATGCAATTTTCTAAATCCTGATAATTCTATGTAATATAATTATTATTTCATAATAATATTCCACGAAAGAATTTCTATAATATTATTAATAATTCCTACAATATTATTCCATAATAATTCTACAATAATTCCGTTGTTTGTTATTGTTTGATTGTAGCAAACAGGTTGTATCGCGCTCTCTTCTAACCGCTTCGTTATTTTAAGTCCGTCTATTATACCGTGGCGCGTTATTGTTTATGCCGCCGATGCGAAAAATACCGCGGAGGTGCAACGGCCGATGAGACGCGACGCATTCGACTTTATTCGCACAGAGTAGAATCGGTAAGAGAGAAAGAGAGAGATAGAGAGAGAGAGAGACAGTTGGAGCCGTTCGATAAAAGCAGCGAGCGCGAATCGAGGAACGGTGCTGACGGAAACGAGTGCTGACAGTGCCATAAATATTCACACGTCGTTAACTACTGAACTCCGACGTTGCGTGCGTTATGCAAAAGTACACGTGCATTTGTATAATCCACTCCAACATTAATGCATCTATTCTTGCAGACAGCCTTTTTTTAACAACGGAAGAGAAAGAGAGACCGCAGCCATTTAGCTGTCCTAAGAAAGACAAGTGTAGTTCTAAGAAATATGCGTGATATATAAATAGTCGTTTGTCATTTTTCTGAAACTTGACGAGAAAAAAAGAAATGTGTTCCGATATAGGTGTATTAAAGTATAAGAAAACTAATGGTAATAAATTAAATCATAAATAGTAAGGGTCTCTTAAATTATGAAAATGTGTTCGACACGATATTATTACATAATTGGACTTAACAATTCAAGAAAATAATGATGAATTATATTACATTCATTATAATATTATAACGTTGATAATTAATAATAATTAATATCTATTTCTTTCCCCTCAACCCGAGCATTTAAATTGAACCGGGCTTCAAATAATTACGTATCCGTAGCGTATTTTATTTTGCATTAATTAAATATTCATCCAGAAGTACACGAACTCGATAATATAATTCATGATAATAATTTGTGAGATGATAATAAATGATCACTCTTCTCTCAAATTCGATATGATAAGCAAATTTAATTCAATCAATACATAATTATACGTACACTCGAATTGTGCATCAATTAAACACAATCAATTAATCTAAAAATGTAACATATTACCTTTTCTCAAATCGAAATCTTCTTCTGAAACGATATATAAATTTGGCAATTTTTTCGTTAAAAATTCGTCCGCAAAGATCTACTTTCTCGAGTACTTTTCTGATCTCTCTTCTGATCTCGCCGCGTTGCGCTGCAACGACGTCATCCGCCGATTTTCACCGATGTCCTCGGCGAACAAAACGCGGACATTAGTCACGGTGTATTGCTCGCGCGCATTTATCACTTGGCATGGATTTTTCGCAAGGTTTCGCAAGAGAAGCCGACTACCGATTCGCGTACAATAACAACGTTATTCGGCTGCCGGTTGCGTCACCGAGGAACCGTTGTGAAACGCGTTGCGGCCGTTATCAAAATCGCAATCGATAATTATCCGCTAATAAATTGTTCGCGTCAGTCTTACGCGATACTTGATAAAAAAAAAGACGGAGAAGAGAGAGATAAAGAGAGATAAAAAGGAAGAAAGAGAGAGAGAGAGAGAACCAGTTGAACTTGTATTTTCTCAGCCACTTATCGCGGAGATCTAACCGTTATTTGATATCGATGTATTGCGCATATTAATATGAGTATTAATTAACGATGAGAATCATGTGAACGAGTTTTCGCGCAAAGCGACTAGCAGATCTTCCATCCACCGTTATCTCGAAGAATAATTTTTCCGTTCGAAACAGCTGTTTTTAAATAAAAAATCAAATTAAACACCTCAAAATTATGCCCCGTTTAGCTATTATTAATTAATTAATTAATTTCTTATTTATTTTGAATTTTTGTCAGAATCTACCTGAAAAAAATATTAAGGATTTTTCTAATTAAATACAAGAAATGAGAGGAAGCTCAAATTAAAAATAAAAGCTTAAAAAGAAATAGAGTTACTTTTGCGTCTCTTTAGCCTCTCACTCAAACTGACACTGGTTGTTCTCGCTTGTTGAGGAGACTGGCGACCGATTACGCGGAATCCTCCGAAGACGAGGAGAACGATTCCGTTGATACGTGCGAGGGATCAATAACCCTAAGTGTGAACGGTTTCAATTAGGACACTCATAATGTACAAAACAAATATGAGAAAAGAGCGATTCTGATTTTTTTTGTAATTTATATAATTATCGATATCAAATATTTCTTTAAAAATATCTTCTCTTCAATTATAAAATAACTGGAAAATTTCTCTTCCATTTTTAACTCTTGCCTTCGATTGAATTTTTCGAGTTATAAATTAAATAAAGAGAAAATAATTTATATAATTTGTCGAAACCTCTCGGGAAATTTTACAAAATCATTCCATCATTTTCATAACAAGATGATTGTGATTTATTTTGCAAAAAAACCCCGACCTCTTTCCTAGAAGGAGATCGAACTAGTCGATCGTTTGTGCGATCTCTGGCGAGAAGAGGCACGAAAAAAACTTGCGGAGGAGAAGGGAAAGAGACGACGACGACGAGATTCCGCGTAATCGCGAGGAGAGATGTCGAGAGGACGGCCAGGATGGATCATCGTTGTAGTGTCGGTGACCGTTGGCCTCTTCGAGTACCTAATAGAGGGAAAGAAGAGGAAGAGAGAGAAGAGAGGAACTCCCTGGCGCCGTGTTATCTTATTCGTTAAGATCCTCCGGCAACGGCGGGAAGGGGGAGAGGAGGGAAACAGATTCGACACACAGTGGTTTCACTGTTTCGTCCAACTCTCTCCGTCTCTCTCCCTCCTCGGGAACGTCGGGGTCCCGGGGGAGAGAATCCAGGAACGGCTTCTCGAGTCTAGACGACGCGAAAGATAGCCTCCCCCTCCTCCTTCCCCCTCTCGCCTGCCATCCTTTATCGCCCCCGCCCCTCCCCTCTCTCATCTATCCCAGAAGATGAACGGATAACGAGGCTCGATGCTCGAAAGCCCCTCAGTGTCCGGTGCTGATTTTGTAAGACTGCGGAAAGAATGACACGTACCTTTGATCCGAAGCTCACAAATTCAATATTCATACATTTAACGTGTATTATAATTAATTCCGATCCTGGCCTTAACAAGCTCCTCATTAGGAACCTCACGCATCTTGAATAGATGCGTTCGCTTTTTGCTGCACGAGGGGATAGACTATCCTGAGAAAATTAAAGTAATTAAAACGCAAGAATTCTAACGAAGAGCTCGGGGGGGAGCGTCTTAATTTTCAAGGTAGAAAGGTAACATCTCGCCGCGAAAAATCGCGTCGTTCCTGAGGTTCGACGCGAACCTTACAGCGGCGTGATACGACGTTCGCCATGACTGTTGGTGCGCGTTATCGAGAAAATAAATTATACGCACCGCGGCGGCGGTGAACGAGATACCGCCGCTATCGGCGGCGTATCTAAAAAGCTCGGCTCTTTTTCCTCTCTCGCTCCCTCTCCCTCTCTCTCTCTCTCTCTCTGTCTCCCTCGACGTCCGGCGTCGCTATGCATGTATATCCACGTCGCGCGCAGATGCCGCAAAACCGAGCAGGAGCAGCAGCGACACCGAAGTCCTCCACCGATAGCCTGATGGTCATTTCTCATTTGTGTAATCTGCGCCACCCCTCGAGCCGAGCTCTTTCTCTATCTCTCTCCTCCCCCTTCCCCCTCTCCCTCCCGCTATTCCTCTCGTCCTTTCGAGCTCCTCTCGCCGCGAGAACCACTCCTGGGGGGATGCACCATCCACCGGAGGAAGAGGGTGGGGGAATAAGCGACCATTTGTTCCACGGGGCGGTTTTTGACGAGGCGCCCTAATCGCGCTGTTCTTCCCCCCCCCCCTTCGACCTCCAGCGGGCTAATCGTAATTGCGAACGACGATAAAAAGTGTCCGCCGCTTTTTCACCGTCCG